ATCAGCATATATCTCTCTTCACTGCTGGTTAAAGGTGTTTTTTGTTTTTCTGTCAAATTACTAGGATCATAATATATATAGCATTTGGTACTGTATCCTCCGTTTCTCCAAGGTTAAAACCACAACGTTCTCATCTAACTTGGGAAAAGTGCTTCCAAAATAAAGCATTGCAGACATCTGAGATGTTAATTTGTTCTTCTCTTGCAACAGTTCCTAAATCTACCCACCTCACAAAGCTCTTAGATTCTGATACAAAAAATTCTACCAAAAAAATCGCAACTGCTGCATGGCAGACAGATTACTCAAATTCATGTAGTTATCTCTCTCTATAAATAAAATAAATTTCTCTCCTAAAACACATGTCTGAAAACCCTGTCCTTCTTTATAATGTAGCTCCTGTTTCTCTTAGTTATTTGCAGAGACAGTCAGGCACAGATGAAAAGGATTGCTGAGTCTGGACTCAGAGTTCAAGCTTTCTGTGGTTTTACAAGTACATGCAGAACTCTAAAGCAGAATTTATCTACAAATGTATAACCTCGTGAGTCATTCTATCACTATGACAGCGATCCCCCACAGTTACACTCTGAGAAGTGCTTCCTTCCCACTCTTACCTAGTTATACTCTGTGCAAGATGCATTTTGCCTAACATGACAAGACTCGAGATTGTATCTCTTCCATGTTAACTGTCTCCTAGCAAGGAGAGGTTAAGATACATTGCAAATAATATTACTGCATTACTGAAAGAGGGATAATGGGATAGCAACCCACTGTTTCTTTACTGTAAGAATCCAGTCAAATCACCTTGTTTTCTGGGTGAAGCAAGCAAAGGACAAAACAAATACCTAAGGCAGCATCCTTAAAAATGTTTCCCACTCTGCTGTTGCCTCCAAACCCTCATTGCTGTCTCATACCCTGGCATGCTCTTCTGTCCAAAGAGTTGCTTTCACCTGGATGAGTTGATTTACCCACGTACGGCACTGCTTTTCCAGCTGCTTGTGTGGCCATAATTTGAAGGGCAGCATACAAAAGTATGAGGATAGAAACTCCTTAAGCCAGCAGGGTTATTAAAGTTGCAGTATAACGAAACTATGGCCTAAGTAACTTGCCTAAAACAGCACTCCACGTCAAAGGAAGATGGCCAGACACTGAATTTAATGCTCCATGGTATGTCTACACTCTAATTTAAACATGACAGGGCAAGTTCACTGCCCAAGGACCAACAGGCATGGGGCAACCTACATCTGTGAACATGAACTCACTGTCCCCAACATGAAGTGGCCTTGTCTTACCTTCAAACAAGGTTGTACGGGCCTGAGCAGATGAAATACCCCACAGGCTTTTGTGTCTGCTCACCTCCATACCTTATGTATTCTTCTTCCTCGCCTTATGATACATCATCACAGCAATGCAGTAATGACTTTTTGAAGTGTCTAAAGAGAGTCCTTTTCCCTATGTCTTCAGACGGTCATTAAAACTATCCACAGCAGCACACATCCTGCATGTCAAAGCTGAGACTCCTGAAGTTTCTGCTGCTGCCACGTTTCAGGCTCATGTTCATTGTGGCCAACTTCCAACTCTTTCTGAAAACCACTGGGGCTAACTCATCCATGTGTGACAGAGACTACCGGGGCCACTTACTCACCAGAGCCACTGCTCAGTGCAGTCAAGCTCCTGCTTCTGGGAAATAACACGGGAAAAGAAACTGGTGTTGGAGCTCAGCCGTGCTAGTTCACAGCAGGGGTCTGCAGCAAGACATTTTTTATTCTAAAGAGAAGAAGTGAAAAGACCTCACAGTGCTATGGAAATTTTTCACTTTTTCTGACCAACATGGTGCATCATATCCTGATAAAACCCCAAACTTATAAACACTCTTTTAAGAAGTCTGGCATGATGCAGTAGCATATTATTTAAATGCGAGTATTGCAGGCTTCACTATTTTATTATGCACTTCCACTGTAACTCCCTCCCAGCCTCCATTCCACCTTAATATGAGGAATAGTTTTATTTTAAGATCATTATGCCTTTAGCCCTCATTGCAAACTTCATTCCCATATGAGCCTTGCTGCACGTTTCTAGACAAGATCACACCTTTTGCATGCAACCGCTAAGGATGTCAGTACGAAAAATTCCTCCTACCTCATAAACATTATTTACAACAATAAAAGAAGGCTTGCAACTTCTTTCTTGGGGTTGTTTAAACCCCAGATAATCATTCTCCATTAGCTAACACACAATGGCTGCACTTGATTAATTTTCCATGCATGGCTTGAGACTTTACAGAACTAAGTGAGGAACTTGAGGTCTTATTTCTAGCCTGTCTTAGCATTTACGTTTCTCACAACTAAAGCTGAGGCAGAGTTACAGCCCACTGAAAGAACCCTGAGCTTCAGAGTTATGCTTGCATTTCAGGTGCTCTCCCCAAACTAAAACTCAACCCAGACTCACATGAATGCGCTGATGGCTTTCCTGTTTAAGACATGCCACAAATTATAACAACACACAATACAAAGTGTAAAAATATAAATATGCTATGTTCTGGTCAAGATTTGTATCTGCATTTGAATCCTGTTCTAAAAAATGAAGTGTTACTCTTACTCTGCTAGAAATCCTTCTATTTTAAACCATAACAATGTGATACAAGAAGCTCCCAGCTACTTACAGCTCCATTCCAGAAAGTATTTTTCATATTATGGTACATCTGTCTGTCAGAGGCACTCAACACAGAACAACACTTCTGTTTACCTTTTAGAAAACACTTCCTCTTTTCCTTCTACCCACTTTTAACACCTTGTCATACTTCCTACGTCACAGTAGGATCAGATAAATCTTAAACACCACAATATATCACATCATCTCCTGCAACCTGTTGCATTTGGGGTGTGACTGAAGCATTTTGTAATTTCATAAGTGAGCCACAAAGAATAAAAATATGCCTTCCTTCTGCCTTTTTTTTTTAAAGTATGTATTTTTAAAAGACGGAGAAGAAAAAGGGACCACGGTATTGCCATGTCAAGGTTTAACCCAATTCTCAAGTGTTTTTTATATGCATAAAGTGTAATTTTGCATGAAGGCACAGCATAATTTATAATGATTTTCTCCACTGAGGCTTGGACAGAGCTATTAAATGATAAATCTGCTGAGAGCAATTAATCTCTTTCTCTAGCTCGGGAGCAACCAATGCATTGTCAAGGACTTGTCTGGGCCCACACTATTTTTCCCATCTTTTGTATACCAGGAAATGCCCTCAAATTTAATTCTCATGGGGACTGAAAAGAAAGAAGCCTTAGCTTTCTTCCACTTCATGTAAAAGATTTCTTACTTCCTTGCTTCGTTCCTTTCTCCCACGCCCATTTCTCCCGTCTATGCATTTTCATCCTCTTCATGTGTCAACCCCAGCACTTACCAAAGTTTCAATCTCTTAACTTAAGGCAGCCACCGTTAAAACCAGCCACCATTTTGGCCAGGACACTCATTAACCCAGCTGAAGACTACACCAACCTCGCACGGGAGGATGCTGAGCACTAAAACTGCTGCAATGTAAGTGAAGCGACAGAAGCACACACTAAAAAAGCAAACCCATTTTCAGTACAAACAAGCTGTCAAGTTATACACTCATTCAGTGCTGTTTTCTCTCTAATCTAAATTTATAAGGAAACTCAGCTACAAAGCAATTCCTCTCATTAGTAAATGTCTAAAGATTTCCTTGCTCCTCTTCAAAGGACCTTCTAGATCTCTCAGGTTTTGTTGTTAAAAGCCCCAACATTCCATTCAAATATGTTTTATGTAAAATGCTATTTATCCTGGCTAAACAACCCCACACATTTCTATACTACTTGGTGTATAAGCAGAAGGCAGTTTGCTAGCAACAGAAGAGCTCACATCAGCTGCTAAACGGGGCTTTACGTCAGTAAATTGAGATATAGGATAGTAGCAGTAACCCTCGGAAATAGTTAAAATTTTAGAAATCAGAGAACTGTTTTGGGGATGCCTGCAGCGCCTAGGCAGACTAAGAATACCTTGCAACTTAAGAGTTCAACAAAGCATTTAACACATTATTGTGAAAATTGTCTTTGTTCCAGCACTACAACGTGCAAGGGCTTCACGTGACTGAGTCTGTTGGCAGCGCACCCAGGGACGGGAGCAGAACAGCAGAAACCTGCCTTGTTCCCTGGGAAGATCTGAGGGCCAGACCCACCCCGGCACAGCACAACACAACCTGAAACATCTGGAGTTTCACAAGATTTTAACAACTCCAGGGAAGTACACTCTGGCTTTTTGCCCTTCTCACTGACTTGAGCTTTTGCCTGTCACCAGAACAACCCTCCACCCTCCCGCTCCGCCAGGTACAACCGCTCCTGCAGACACGCTGACAAACAGGGAACAGGTAAATTAACTCTGAGCCAGAACAGAGCCAGCTAAACCTTTCACTTAAACAACTCATGAAAATTAAGCACTCCTGTGTAGTCTCCAGCACATCAGATGTACCAGAGTGTAATCAATCCATCCTTTAAGCAGCGAGCACCCCGGTGTGGACAGGATGTGTCAAACCAGCCTAGGCAATTAGTGAAGCAGTAAGAGACCACACGAGTCCGAGTGCCAAGACGACTCAAGTCCTTCAAGAAGGAGATCTATTGTAGAACAGTCTGCCTCATGTCCCTTCCTGCTGAAACCCTTGTAAGAGTTTGAGAGCATGCTACCAGAATGAACCCGTATTTTAAAATGTCTTTTTCAGAAAGGCATTCATTTTATACTACCAGGATGCTCACTAAACAAAAGACAAGTAAATATTAACTACTACCTCTAGACAGTAGTTTCAAAATATTGACAAGAAGGTACTACACAGGATGAAGTAATTTTTCTTTTTAAAAGCTCCCAGCTGCATTTCTGTCCTGCCTTACTCAGTGCCTAAAATAGCTTACCACTGTCCATGGAAAAACTGCCTCCTACACAACATGTCGTATCTACCTTAACACAGTGTAAATGAAGACAAGGAAAAAAGCTCTTTTAAATATTTTTATTACAGAAAAAAACCAAAAGGCTTACACTTGACTTAAAAAAGCAGCATTATTTCATTAATTTGAAGTTACTACAGTGAAGTTGCTTTAAGAAACCTTTAAAGACTAAAGAAAAACAAAATAAAATGCCAGATCCTCTTGTCAGCCAGCATTCCAGACTGAGTGGCCACAGCAAAGCCCTGAATTTCACATCACTGCTGGCACCTGGTATATGACTTGTATGATTTTCTTCTCCCTGGGTCTTCTTGAATATATCTGGGAGAAGGACTTGGTGAAAATGGCAGTACATTTCAAGTTTAACTTTCAACAGTTGAGTACACATCTGATAGATATGACAGTTCAGAAGTGACTGACGCACGCTTTCCTCCCAACTCGAGCAGTTAAATGTCACAGTTTTAGCAGATCCTGGTGCGATCTGTTCCTCACACAGTATTTATCATATTCATGTCCGTACCTCAGATTTCTCAGCAAGTTATTTGGCTTCTACTCGTTATAAACACAAAAATATCCACAAAACCAAAGGCTCATAGTTGAAACAGTGCAGCAGGATTCAGAATTTTTTATATATATATTTTTTTTTAACTGCATACCCTGGAAGGAACAGCAGTGTTTCAATGACCACTTCAGGTTTTTTTCCTTAAGTCAAAAACTGCAGGTTTCCTGCCCGAGCCAAAATTAACTATGTAATGGATCTGTATTTGAAATCTTAACAAAAGGGACGAATCAAGAAATCAAATTACTGCCTTTGGAGTCCTACATTTTGATTATCAGCACTGAGTCGTGCTAAAGTCCAAAGAAATCTGCAGGCTGGTTATTAAGGGATTTTTATTATTTTTTAAACAACACAAGATTCTACACCATGTTAAAAAAAGTTCTAAACACATTTTTAAACATCTCACTCTTCAAATATACTAAAACTACACCTAAAAGATTCTGCCAAAAATTGAAAAGCAAGAAAACTCAAGTCACTACATATAACTAGCTATAATAATAATTAAAAAAAAATGAAAAAAGGCAATTCATAACAGGAAAAAGAACAAAAATGGAAAAAAATCCATGTAAGACACTTGCTACTCAGTATTTTACAAACTCATTTTTTTCCTCTCCTCCCAAAAGGGAAAAGGTTGGACACAAAATCAGGGGTGGAATTTTTCTGAAAAAAAGAAAATAAAATAACAAAAAACCAAACCAACCTAATCTCCTTAGATATTGTTTATACTGCATGATAAAAATCTATGATGTCAGGCATCTACTTACTGTACTCTGTACTGCAACATGAAGCCAGCTATTACCAAGCTACTTAAACAGAAGAAAGAAGTTTCTTTCCTAGAGGCAAAAAGGATGCAATACATTTTCCCTGGTTATGACTTCTATCATCACCAGGTTAACTCAAACATAGAACTTTTCTACTTAGGCTTACCCGTGGTTTTTTATTTAAAATTCCTGGATTTAGTGCTATAACATAGTAATTTCTTATGTGATCAAGCTGCCTTATAAGGAGGATGTCATAACCTGTATTATACAGTAATGCAGCCTTTAAAATATTAAAAAAAAAAAAAATAGGAGAAACCCAGCATGAATACTAAGAGGAAGAGCAATGTAAGTTTTATTTCTGTGGTATTCTCCATGACATCAATGCCAAAGGCTATTTTATAGCTTATCCTTGGAGATTTTAACCCTAGAAAAAATTAGTCCTTTGCACAGTCACAGAGTTGTATTAAAAGGGACTTTTATGAATAAATAGGTAAAAGAAAAAGAGGAATTATTCTGACCAATCTCTATGAATGTTAACCTTATGCTCCATTAACTCCCACCTTCAGAGCAAGTAACAGTCTCAAACAAAAGTATCAACACCAACTAGCTCAAAGATATATAACAATCTGAACCAAATACCGTGAAGCAAATGTACACCATTCAAAAAGCTTGTCATTGGAGAGTTAAGTGTAGTCAGAGGGTGCTTATATTTGTGTCTTCCTTTATCAGTTTTACTTTGGATTCAGAAAACAAAGATCGTCTGCACTACAAGTTTGTGTAAGCACACATACAAAACAATTTAACAGGTAACCATGTTCTAAAATGTTTATAACGTAGTTTTTCAGTATTTTCAGCTGCTAAAGCACTAATGAAGACTTAATTTTGCATATATCTCCCGCATCCTATATCAAGTAAACATTTCTGACTGCCAATAATTATATTATTACATGGTAAAACAGTCCTCTAATTCTTAATAACTTACATTTAACTTGAGAAAACAGAAAAGTTGGGTTTTTTTTCCAAAATAGTGTGTAACAGGTAGGGCACGTGACTTCTTGGAAAACTCTAAGTTGTCTTTAGCTATCAGGGTCTGAAAGACTTTACAGATCTCTTAATCTTTCTTATTTTTCAGCTTTAATTTTATATGAATGAATAGTTCATAGAAGTAGTTCATCACATACATCAAGGTGAGATATCATCTTTATCTCACTGTTCTGGAAATGAGCAATTCAAAAATTAAAAAAAACCAAAACAGTGTAGAATTGTACCCGCAAATTCCTTCAGTTTAAATTGCTCTTTTTTAATCTATTAAAGACAATTAAGAGAACATCCATATACTTTTTTCTGTCAATTTCTGAGAAAATTTGAATACATGCAAGTCAAAACTACCATAATGCAGACAAAAAGGTCCTCTTTCATGAAGATCATCAATAAATGACTACCTTCAATAAATAAGTCTATTTGGAAATTCTAGAGAATTCTTTTGCTAAACAAGTTAGTCTTTTTTCTTTTCCATTATGTCTTTCTGTTTAAGCTCTCCATCTGAAAGTTCTGTATATTTTCCGTTCTTTTCCTCCTGTTCCTCCTCACTGCCTTCGTCCGTCAGCTCCTGGTCACCGTTTTCCTTTTTAGCTGCCTCATGTTCATCGATCCCTCCATCCGTATCAGCTGTGCAGATTCCATAACACATAATGCTGATGACCCCCAGGGGCAACCCAAAGAGAAAGCATCCCAGAAGTGGTGAACTCTTGAACACAGACTGTTAAAACACAAATTTGAAGTAAAAAATACTTTCAGTGAATATACAAAATTACTGCATTTCTTCTCTTATTACTCTGGGTATTTATTCAGTAACATCCAAAATGACAGACAGGGTTTTGGTGTCTTGCCTTTTTTTTTGGTTTGTTCGATTGATTTTTACTTTGGTTGGTTTTTTCCCCCCAGAAAGGAGGAGTAGTCCTCGTTTTACCCATTACTACTCTAAGTTCATTTAAAAAGAAGTCTTAGGACTTCAGATACTACAATGTTGCATTGTGAAGATGAACGTTAACAAGCCAACTGTATGTCGTATTCATTGTCTGAAACTTGAGAAACAACTGTTTTAACAGCGTTAAAATAACACTCTGAGGCAACCTGTTTCATCTTTTATTTGTGTCTCATTCTCAAAAATCAGTCTTAGCAAGAAGGGATCTGCAGAAACATTCTGCTATGAAACAGCTCCGTGTTGAAGAGTAGTTTAATGGCACAGGAGGGAAGACTCAGTTTGAGAAACTGGTGGCTAAACGTTGTACATTCACAGAAGTTTGGAAGCCACTCACACAGAAACAGGTGAGTATCAATTTAAATTCACAGGCACAGGTTTTTTTGCTTGTGTAGGACAAGCAAAGAAATGGATTTGTGTAAATCTTCCCAACGAAATTCAGTTAAGCATAACTAACCTATAAAGAAAGACAGTAAAAAAATTCCCTTCAAAACTACACCAAGTTTAGTATTTTATCCCTTTATGCCCTAATTAGACTGAAATCATAACACTTCTCAGAAGGTGAAATTGTTATCAAATTCAGTGAAAGGATGTCAAAAGGGTCAAGGAAGAGATTTTGAATTCCACCTGTTCTATCCCTTAAAATACATGTCAGACTAATACAGAAAAAAAGTGAAAAATGAAGAAACTAATGCATGTTGAATATTTAGCAGACTGGAAAATATTATTAAAAACTTTAATCAAGCAGTTCATTTGGCTTTGCACATATGTACACAACATATATATAATATAAACAAACATATAAAAATATTTCTAAATCCTCTGAAAAGATTTGGATCTTGATTGACGACAGTACCATTTAATGTAACAAAAAATAAGACTTACCACGACAGTAGACTTGGCATCATAGATTATTCTCTTGACTCGTTGCAGAAGTCCATCACCACCCTGTGCCTGAAATTTCAAATGGAACCATGTCAAAACTGCTGACACTTTTCAGTTATGAATCCAAAAGTTCATTCTTCAGACCTTGCAATCTTAAGTCCCTTTAGAAGGAAATGAAAAGTAATTATTCTTGCATCTCATGAGGCCCAGATACTCCAACTTCTAAGCATGGATAAATATTTCAATAGTCTCATGAAAAATCCACTCACAATTGGTTTAAACAATCAGTGCAAACTATAACAGTGAAGCTGACAGATACCTCTTTATGGATTATGACAGAGGCAGTTAGAAAAGATCTAAGAACTAAGTAACACGAAGAAATAATAAAGAAAACTTGTGTGAAGCCATGACATACTATGCCTACGCTGCCACCTAATTTAGCAATCTTCACAAAAACTAAATGAAACCAAAGGCAATTTGTCTGTTGAACAGGACCAGTTTTCACCCGCCTTGAGTTGCCAGAGAAACAAATGGGAAGAAAATCTACATTTTGGACATGATCGGCATTGGACCGTGACCAAAACCCCTCAAATTACATAAAAGCCTACAAAGATGAAACAGACTCACAGGTGGCTACCTATAGGGCCCTAGAGAAAATAACAAGAAAGTCAAGGTGAATAATCCCAACACTTCCCAAGGAAGGGAGGTGGGGGAGTGTTATACTTCTCAGAAATTCCACTGTGGTTCACAAAGTCTGCATCTTGTGTATCAGTGTACTTTAAAGACTGTCATTCCTCAACTGCTGCATAATTTCTTGTCCCTGAACATAGCCCAAGTAGTGCCATCTTATGTCTATAGACACTATTTAGCTTAAATGAAGTCACATCCTGTATTGTCTGTCTTGTGTTAGCATTCTCACATACATATAGAGGCATGAATTTAGACAGACCTTTAATCCTTCTCACTGAAATACTGCAAACAAAAGGTAGAAAGACCTAAGTGGCACCACGGCAAAAAAAAAAAAAAGGCTTCACAAATGAATTTCCTCAAAGTTAAAAAACAGACAGAATTAATTTGTTGTTTCATCCAGAAGGATGTATTTAAGTAGAGTTAAACAGATGTTTTTAACATAATTCAATGCAATTTACAAAGCATTAAAAAAGCAAGACTTGAGGAACAAAGAACCACCAAATAAATTACAGGAATACCTCTCAGCTTGCAACTGAAAGCATGAACAGCCAGTAAATTCACCTATATTATGTTGCTGCACCAATTTGTCAGATTAAATAAACCAAAGTACCCTGTATGAAGGAAACGATCTACAGGGTTACTTGTGGTTACCACCTGACGACCTGGAACTGCAGATGTAACACGGAGTGGGATTCAGCTAACACAGCAAACATGCAATATACTGTGAACTGGGGCTTAAAACAACATAGGCTTCTCCCAGGAGGCAGCCAAATTATTTGTTAGCCCTGCCCCCCTTTGTTGCGTGGCCTTTGTACCCCATACGTGCAACTGAAAGCTCTGATCCACGATCTCTTTCCTCATCCACACAGCCCAGCCTTCTGTCCAACTTACAGTACACTGAGGGAAACGAGCAAACCTGAGTTTGTTTTGCCAACATTAAAAAACTGTCCAAGTTATCAATTCCAGATGGATTTATTCATTTTGCTGTCTTAACAAAAGACAGCTCATTTTAGAGCAGAGGGGTAAGGTTGTGTCTGTACACCACTGATTTTTTTAATCTGAACCTATTGGATTTATTAATTTACTGCCCAAAAGAAAGGGCAGAGCTGCATTATGCACCATAAAGAAGATAAATTTTAAACAAACGCATTTAAAGCAAACCAGGAGATGAATAAAAAGCTCTCCATTTACCAGTGACGCCTGCAAAAGGAATATAAAGAAAAGTCAGCTAACATTATGCTATAAATAAAAAACCCCTTGCTTTCTACAAAAGGTTCTGCAGTCAAAAGAGTGTGCAACAGCACATCTCAGGAATTCAGAATCATCTATTCTCCAACAGCACCCAAGACAGGAAGATACAACACTGGGCATAACAATCAGAGTAACCAATTTTTTTCCCCCATACTTTAGCATCAAGGAAATAAACACCAACCAACATATTCCAGGTCACAATGAAGACTTACTTCAGCTGTACCATCCAAGATATTGTTAATAAACTGAACCATGTCTTCTGTGTTCTCAATGTGCCTATCTGGTAGAAAATACTGCTGATTGGAGGTATTCAATACAACGATAGTAGGGATTGTCAAGTCACTGGAAAAATAAAACACATAGTTTAGGCATTTAAAGAACTACTGTGTAAAACACTCAATTCAAGTAATTCCTACACCATTTAAAAGGGTATCCATTTATCTTCACTTCTTGTGTGTTCCTTTTAGCAGATCCTTAAAGGCAAGACGAAAGGGGGAATAGAATCACCAGAACAGTACGAGCATATTTCTCATTAATATTTTTCCTTCACGTCTGTGTCAGGGATGCTATTGAAGCTTACTGCATTTTACATACCCAGAGTGACTGCAAAACAGGTACCTTATGACTTAACAATTAGTAAGAGATCACAGACAATAGCCTTGTATTCGAAATGTACTATTTGAACAACACATTAAGTGTTTAGTGCACAAAAGCAAAAGTATAGTACAAAAATTCAGTTCCATACAGCCACGGTCCAACTGACCAGCTCCATCAATCAACCTCTGCCTGTCAAGTCGAAAGAATAAGCCATACCAACCAGAGTTTTACTACACCTCTTTTAGATATGGCAGATGAGCTACGGAGTTTTGAAACAATTATTACTCAGCAGTTGACCTTTCACATACGTAAGCATTGTTTAGTATCACAGAATCAGAAAGCAAGAAAAAAAAAAAAGAAAAAGAAAAAAAGATTAGAAATTATCTCTGGAGATACACCAGTGTAATCTACTGTTCAAAGGAGCCCTAAATTCAAAATTAGATGAGTTTTAGGAAAATTTAATGCTGCACAAGCGCACTGTTCAACAATCAAGATTTAAAATACATTAAATAAGGTGCAAAAACTCCTGTACTCTTTGTGCGCAAGTGGCAGACAATCAAACCAAATCAGGTGTTTTTGCAAGTACCTGGTACAAGTTATCAACCTCTGCGAAAATACCTCATCCCAGCTAAAACAGAACAAGTTTTACTACTTGGCTGCAGAAAAGACACCTCCCTAACCCCCACCCCCCTCAAAAAAACCCCCAGAAGTACTTCTATTGCAATTAAAAGTCTGGTAACTAAGGTTTTTGGTGTTGGTTGTAGAACAGCCAAAATATAAATTCCATATAATCATGTTATATGCTATACAGAAATTCATGAAAATATATTTAATACGTTTCTTCCAAGAGATGAAGAATTAGTACTCTAAATACATCTGTAGTTGGCATTCCAATGATGCTATATATTTTAGCTTACACAAAGATGTAGTTTTGCTTTCAGTAAAATAAACAATATTCTGTTTTCTTCTTTTGTGCATGGTTTTAGCTATACCATTTTTAATGCAACAAAAGCATGTTCATCCACTGCTGAAGAGATAGACAAATTATAATGTTTACTAATGACGTTACAGCCAAGTTCATAAGTGTACTTCTATCAGGGACTGCTACTATTCCAACGAATGTATACAACACTTTGTCCTTTGTGAAGGAAGAGAATTTGTTCCTACGTGCAGAGTAAAAAAGTATTCTGCAGGATTGCTCCCTATTCAGGCTTTTTCTGTTTCCACTTGCTGCCATCTAGTGGAGAACTGAAGCACTTGCAATGCGGTTTTACTCGAATTACTCAAGGAGCCACATGAAGAGCAGCTTCTTGTATCACTGAACATATTTTGCTGCTTTCTTTTGCTGATTTCCATTTATGCTGGAAACGTATACACTCGGTTTAGAAAGCAATTAAAAGCCTGTGAGTACTACAACAGCAACTTCCCATATACTACAAATTACAAGATCAGGCATTTTGCAGAGTAAGTTAAGCAATCCAGCTCTACAAATCTTGCCGCCACTACTAAATCACTGCCACTGTAAGCGGCAGTTCTGTCTTCTTTCCCTTCTTCTTCATCCTCCCAGGGACCTGATCTCCCTCCCCTGTTTCTTTGCACATCAGTTCTGGTACTCAGTAGAATATATGGGAAGACATTGAAGGGTTTTGCTAGATCAGCAAAGTAACTCGCCTAGCCAAAAAAGCAAACACTTTTCTGCCAGGAAAACAGGCTGAAACAGCTCAACAGCCAGTCAGACAAAAGAGCCTGCACAGCAGAAGCGATAATGAACTGAGGAAGGTCTCACTCTTGGCAGCCATAAAGCACTAGATCAATCACATCACTTAACTTCAATTGCAAGACAGTTGTTTTTAAATTAATTGTACTCAGGTGTCAATCTAGGGGCATTCCACAGAAATAGAGACCTTGTGTGTCTTGAATCCCCATGAAGCTCCCAGAACTTGTAGGGGCAGGAACACCTGCTTTATTCACGCTTTGATCCCCAGGAAAGGGGTTCAAAAAACTTACAGAGCTGGCATATTGACCCCAGCTTCTCTCTCCCACCCAAACAGTGAGAACAAGTACTCACTTGTAAATGCCAGCAACTTAACTTTCTAACTGTGCATTTCTAGAAAAGGATCATAATAAGGGCAAATACCAAGCACCATGCTAAACTACATATATATTTCAAAATGTACCAGGTACATATCAAGTGCAGACAGCATCTTCCATGCATTTTAATCTCCTTCTCTGCAGAAGCATATTTCTATCTATGTTCTAAAAATGGATCAAGAATGAAATGTGACTCTCCAGAAATGAAAACCATAGATAATGCATAACCACTATTTACATTTCTTGTTACAAGTTGACATAACTTTTACCTTTTTTTCCTTCATTAAAAACCCCACAGTTCTAACAGAGTAATTAATTTAACAAAATAGACCTAAAAGATAAGCATTGTCAATCAGTATTATCAGTAATCCACACTTCTAATACTAAATTATGCAGTTTAATTTAACAAACAACTGATACTATGTTACATGTTGAATTCTCAGGACAGCAATTTATTTTTTTTAACCCATGGAAAACACAAGACAAGAAATAATATTCAAATAAGAATTTACTTACTCCATTAGTAAACTATTAATGTAATCATTTCCATCCATATGGCCAAACTGGAAATCCCTGTACGAGAAGCAGTGAAAAGCAGAATGGATGAAAAAGAAAACAGAATAATGGGTTTCAGCAAAAGTTCTTCCTTAAATATTTTTCCTGTAACTGGAGATGAGAGCACATGCGCAGTGATATACTTCAAAAACTGATGATCTACAGGACAGTCAGCATTCAGTTTATGGAATGGTCTTACTAAACATCAGTATATGAATATAAAAGCAGGCACTACAACATCTTTAATGTAGAAAAGAATGACTGCTGTCTTAGAAAGGTTAATGCAGAAGTTCACTTAAGATACCATAGTACCATATAATGCCTACCTGTGAAAATGGTCTCGATAATCTCTAGCAACTTCCTGAATAATAGATTTTAGTCTGGACGGGGAAAAAAACAGTGGCATTGATAAACTAGGATATACTTTGTCAACATGCAAACAATAAACACTGAGATTTCCTCAGTAAGCAGCAAATAGCATCTCCTAAACAATAAGGATTCCCTGTTCTATTAACAAAAACACACCTCGCTCATCTCGCTTGCATTCTAAGTGTTGAAAGTCTATCTACCACATAGTCTCAACAGAAGAAAAGCACAGTCACTCCACCTATTGCCTTTGGAAGATGCAGCGCTCTGAATAAAATCCAAAGAGGTCTGGGAAAATAGCATACACAGTACTTGAACGAGATTTTCTTAATCTAATTATGTAGGCAATGAGAAAATGACAGGAGGAGGGCCTGCTCCTCCGAGTCTCTTCAGCAAGCTCAAACCCAACTGAAAACGCCTCTTCTTAATATAAATTCCACAGACAACTAATATATTAGCACCACTAAATTAATTTTTAATGCAACTGAGCTGAAGAACAGTCATTTGTTTAAACTTACTAAGTTCATCTCAAAGTCATTTGAACTCAAGTACTCTTGTCTATGTTTAGAAAGTGACACAATAGCTTTAAACAGCTGTGATCACTGTTCCTGTGATCTCATTAACAAATGGCAGAAGAGTGTTACTGAATTCCCATCAGTGCTTCAACAGAGCTATATATTAAATCAAGTCATAAATTAGAGAACATCCACAAGTTGGAGACATTGTTTAATGACCTTTTTTTTTGTCAGAGTTGGGTTGATGGTTGGACTAGGATGATCCTGAAGGTCCCTTCCAACCTAGATGATTCTATGATTTAACCTAGCATTTCTGAATATTTAAGAAACTTCCAAAGTTCTCTCTGTCATACCAGCACATTCCTCCCACTGTGTCACCAATACTCAATTCTGTACCTGGTATGTTCCACTGAAGAGTTTTTATCATCAATGACTGCAATAGCCACAAGTTTTCCTAAAATAAGGAATAAAATACTTTTTTAAAAAAGGGAAACTGTTAAAGAGAAATACAAAATATCAGATGGCAAACACTCCAATCTAGAAGATTAGATACTCTCCAGGACAGGGTTGTTCAGCCTAGACAGAAGGAGGCTGAGGGGAGACCTTACTGCTCTCTACAACTACCTGAAAGAAGGTTGTAGAGAGGCGCAGGTGGGTCTCTTCTCCTAGGTCACAGGAGACAGGACTAGAGGAAACGGCCTCAAGTTGTGCCAGGGGATGTTAAAGTTGGATATTAGGAAAAATTTTCACACTGAAAGAGTTACCAAACACTGGAATGGGCTGCCCAGGGAGGTGGTTGAGGCACCATCCCTGGAGGTGTTCAAAAGATGGGCTGACATGGTGCTGGGTGACCGTTTAGTGACGGTTTTTTTGTCAGAGCTAGGTTGATGGTTGGACTAGATGATCTTGAAAGTCCCTTCCAGCCTAGATGATTCTATGATAGGAATTACTTTCAGGTATAAACCAACCCAAATAGCCTCTTCCAGCTGACCAAATTGTAGTTTTCTTAAAGCTACTGAAAGCAAACATGGATGTAGCTTAATGCCATACCATTAGTGTTCTATGAAAAGCCTATCTATAGAAAAAAGTTAAAAGGAGAAAAACACAGATAAAAATTAATTCCCTACCCAAGCTGCATTATTTACATATACCTAAATATGAGGCAATGAAAAACTTTATTTTGTAATGGCAACTGCAAGCTGATTTTAAGTGATGGAATCACTATTGCATGGATTCAGTACCAACTATTTTTAACACTTGAAAATTTGGAGTATTATCCTTACTGCAAAAAAAAAAAAAACATGGAAAATTTACTGGCAAAGCCCAGAATTCATTACATCAGAAAAACAAGTTAGTTAAGTTTTTCTGATTAAAAGAAAAAAAGCCAAAGCCTCCTAAGTTGAATCAGACCAAAATATGTTTAGAAAGCTGGCCAAATGTTCTCCAGACAAAGCGCTTCCTGTTAGGAAAGCAGGTCTGTTAACAGTGGAGTCATCAGGAGGATTAACTAAAGCTTCAAGCGTGCAGAAGAATAGCTTGTTAAGTCTCTCTGGATGCCATGATTCACTCATAACCCTTCCCAACGTACCAATCTATTGTTCAATTCCTACCTATCACCATGTCACAAGAAAAAATCTTCTCAGAAAAAGAAACCTGCTCTTGTTCAAGTAATACTGAAGAGTTTTGAGGGCGGGCAAAACCAATGATTCATTCCCAGGCCTTCTTGTGAAACAGCAGTAGCTTCCCCCTAACCCGCCCCCCAGTTTCTTCCATACCTCAATCCTCACTTTTCCCATTTCTTTCCACACCCTAAGACACTACCTAAGACACTAGAAGACAACTACTTTTAAGAGTGTATTTATACATAAAGCTTTTAAAAATAAGTGGTGGCTTCTCCATTGTATTAGTAACTCAATTTTTTTTTGGTAATTTGAAGAATTTTTAGACAAAAATGTACCATGAAGTAATATGCTACATTTAAACAATTTACAACAGCACTTCTGTAAACAACCTTTTAAAAGGTAGGTATAATTATATCAGTTTGACAAACATGTTAGAAGCTAGGCATTCCATAATTTTTAAAACCTGAAAAGAACTCAATGTTGCATTGAATATAAGCAACTTTTTTTGGAACTGGAATGTAGGCTACAAGGTATCCTGGGCTGGAAAAATCAACACTTACACCATTTCTTCCACTATTTCAGAGTATGAATACCTCAAAAACAGCACAAGTCATTTGCCTATTCCAGAAGTCACTCAGCTACAAAGTTTTTGTTTGGCTTGCAAAAAATTTTAATAGAGAAAAGCTGACGTATTGCAGAACAGGTCCACACTCTCTTCCCTTCCTTATCATACGTACTTTAAAGATACCTGAATCCATTAGATGCAAGACATATAAACCCATCTATATTTGATACTTCTAAATCCAGTCCTGAATTTCCCTGTAGGCATTCCAAGAGTTAATATGTAATTTATGCAAAACCTAAGCTGCTCTTAAATTAAAAGTTCTGCTAATTTTTTTTGTGAATACTACAGGATTAGACACACTAATTTTTATGTTGTGAGGAAAGGACTAGTGTAGGCTTGGGATGAAGCTTCTAGTCAACAGAACAGGTCTCACCAACATCAAAAAAAGATTGGCACTATCAACTGCAATTCTGATATTAATTAATTTTTGAGGTTAAAAGACCACATTCTTAGTGTTTTTTAATTTTTCTTGGTGTTAAGTACAAGAGATGTCAAACAGTTCAGTGACAGCACCATCTCACCTGTATCTCCAAGCTCATATAGCGTAAAGCCATCCACAGTAAGATAACCTTGAAATCTTTCTCTGTTTATCCAGGATGACAAATCACCATCTTCATACTCTTAACAAAACAAACAGAAAAAAAATACTGAAAGTTAAACACACATCATGCATTAAAAATTATTAATTTTTTTGGTAACATGGGTATCAGCTTTCTTTCTTTCAGTACTACAGAGAAGAAACGAAGACAAAGTAGGTGAATTAACAGCACTGTGAAGGTAAATGAACAAATATTTATATGTGATTCCAAATCAGTTATACTGAAGGTTAGCTTCAGATGCTAGATGCTTTAACCTGTACAGAGTCACCATTATAATTAGATCTTAATCACAAGTCAAAAAGAAGAATGTACATAAACAGATATACAATGTGTATACACACACACATATAAACGCACATTAAATAAATACATTTCTGTTAAATCCTATTGAATTGAATGAATTAACATTAGCTTCAGTTTAGCAATAGTCAGAAGATTGTAGCAAGCAATTCCAAGTGTAAAGCTTTCCATAGATCTGCATCCCATTCCCCTGCTATGGGGAAGAAAAAAAAGCACCAAAACAAAACAGCAGACAAGGCCAGAGCACTGAAATGGATTTTGCTTAACCTTTTTCTTACAGTGAGCTCTTCAAATTTCTGCCCAATTATGACAGTTGCACATAAGCTTATCCAGACTCTTACACCATATCTTTATAACTTGTCTCATTTACAATAATGTTTCAAGTACCTTATCAAAGAGCAAAATATTTACAACATAAATTAGAAGCCTGGATTATTACAACTCTTCTGTTTGATTTGAAAGATGTGGAAAAAGCGACTGGGTCACATGGCAATAAGCAACTCAGAAGTGTTTCTCCTTCTCCAGTCAGTTTAAAAATAAATAAATCAAATGCAAATCAAGGAGGCTGTAGAGTGACTTTTTATCTGGAGGATGATTAGTAAAGCAACAGACTGAAGAGGGAGACAAGTACAGCTATTCTATGAAATCACAAAGAATATCCTTGATGGCCCATCTGGAGCATTTTGCTGTGGCACCACTGATCCTCAGAAATTAAAAAAGCAGAGTAATCTTCTGAGTCATGTGTTTTCAACTTAACGTGAAAACTTGCACTTAAATCAAGAGTAGATGTTTTTGTAAATAAGCAGTGAACCTATAAGCCAACCCATTATATGCATATGTAAGTACATGTGTGTGCAGGCATCTAACAGACTATAAAGCATTGCCTTTACAGGACAGCCTGAGTATAATCCAGCATTTATATCTGGATATCCATACATAGGGATATACATTTTTATGTAAATGGCAGGTGTACTGCTGTTAAGTGACGTTAAACACTGACACTAGTAGTCACTGCTAGAAACACTACTAGTCTCAGGTGGCCATTCTACAGTCTACTCACTGAAAAAGACAGTCAAGGCAGTTTGTCAAGCCCAAAATTGCATATCCTCTGCTTCAGTGACAAAAGCCCACGTCTCCTTAGCCTCTTTTTGAGAGACACTCTCAGGAAGGGGAAAAACAGACTGAATGGTCAACTGTCCTATGTATGCGTAGTATATGCCCTGTCAGCCACATCAGGAGAGGTTGTGCTGTCTGGTCCTTTCCCACTACCAATATTCAAGTAACACAAATTGCAAAGTCACACATGCTCAAAGCTATCAGTTAAGGCCCTCCAAATTTTAATATTGGGAATAAAGGCAGAATCAGTTTCCTCACAGTTTTTGAAGGAAGGCTGGCTGCACTAAGAAAGTACAGTCTGTATTGCCAAGGCACAGAAGGCTCAAACTAGACCCTTTTACATGATCTCTGAGCAGCGTAAACAGCTGAAAAAAAAATATCGAGTTAACTTCAAGAGAGATCTGACTGTCAGGAAGAGCACTTAGAGAAAATCTGATTAAGTGTTTGAAACTGAAAAGTCATTTTATGTGTGACTCCTCTTCAGCAAGTATTTTCTTCTACTTTGTGTATCATGAATTTGGACATTGAGTGATGGGTTAGCTTTGTAAGTGCATTAATACCAGCAAAGCAAGAATACTAGAAGGTAAATCTTACTGATAACACAAAGCAAACATCATTACTTCTACTTCAGTATTCCTAAAACCACTTTCCTTCTCAAATGCATTTTGTTCCCTAAGAACTAATTAGTTTTTTCCCTTCTCTTTCACGAAGGAGCTGTTATTTATCATAAAACCAGGGCATTTCCCAGCACACCAACTAAACCTTCAAAAAAATCCCCTGTTCCAGTTTCTTCATACTTTAAATATTTTGTCTTACCATCATAAACAAAGTAAGTTCCATCTTTGAAGACCAGAACAGCTGGCAATTCAGGCAACGTCACATACTGAAAGAGAAGTGGTTTTCAATTAATCTATGGAAGATTAAAATATCTTTAAACAAATAAAGAAAATCTTAGAAATGTAGTCAATGGGGAAAATCTCAGAGTACATTTTAGTGTTTTCTGTATACATTTACTAAAATAAATTTATAAGCTTCCACATATTTCACTGAATTTCACTGAATTTCACTGAATTTCACTGAATTTCACTGAATTTCACTGAATTTCTAGAGTTGGAAGGGACCATAGAGATCATCTAGTCCAACTCCCCTGCTGAAGCAGGATTGCCTAGAGCTTGTCAGAGCATGTTACTCAGGACTGCATCCAGGCGGGTCTTGAAAATCTCCAAGGAAGGGGACTCCACAACCTCCCTGGGCAGCCTGTTCCAGGGTTCCGTCACCCTCACCGTGAAGAAGTTTCTCCTCATATTTGAGTGGAACCTCTTATGTTCCAACTTGTGCCCGTTGCCCCTCGTGTGTTAAAAAGTAACACAACATTGCATTTTGAGAGGCAGGTCTCATAAAATGTAAATGAAGCAGGATTTTTACTAGCATGTGCAGCAGCATGAAGAATATTTTATTGGTTGGACATGAACTTTAGAGAGAAGATGGTAACTTGAGGGTTTTATCAACGATGCTCTCTGTTCTCAATCTGTGCTGTTGTCAGCATACTTGTCATACCATTACTTCTACTAAATGGCCAGTCAATAATAGCATAGAAAAACAGTAACATTGAAAAGATGTCCCATTAAATCTGGGCTATTTCCTGTCATTTGGGCTGATGGGAATATAAAGACACAGCTTCCGCAGATAGGACTGCAAATAGCCCTAATTCAGGCAAACAGAGCAACGAATGCATGCATTACCATCCTGAATATGGTATTTAGGATGATCAACAACATACTCAAAAAAAACTACAAGGTATTGAAACCTTTCCCTTGGAACTTAAAAGAATTTTATTAAAATTATGTTTTCAGTAAGCTGCCACAGAATACATACTGCATCTACTCCCTACTGCTTGCTGCCATTCTAAGAAGAAATTCTAATAGCACTTGTGGTTAAGAAAGGACTGTATAATGACCTTAGTTTTGATGATGAAGTTGGCTGAATTGTCAAATCTACTGAGATGTTTGTGAAACATACGAACAGTATCATGACTGCTTCCCCAAATGACATACCTTCTGTAACCATTCTGCATAACCTTCCTTGAAAATAAACGTAAAAGCCAGAGGTTTATAAAGCCACAGCTCATACAAATGAGCAAGACAGTGGTTATTTTGAGATGATGCTTTATTCTCTTATTTGCTCAAATCAAAGTTGAGCATCTAAAAAGGACAAATCAGTTTATGTACACCTTATGGCTTACAAAAGATGCCTGAAGCTTGGAACATGATTACCTAAGCTGATAGAACAAAGCCTAACAGGGAATACTCTCATGCAAAGCCTTATAACTAGCAACCAGTGGTTTCATAAGTGAACAGTACTTTTTCTGCTCAGCTGGGACTGAAGTGCAAATAGCAATATTCAAATTGAGACAGTTTTTCATACAAGCTTTCTGGAAATCTAAGAATACACTATACAGGTTGCCCAGAGAAGTTGTGGATGCCCCATTCCTGGAAGTGTTTAAGACCAGGCTGGATGGGGCTTTGAGCAACCTGGTCTAGTGGGAGGTGTCCCTGCCCATGGCAGGGGGGTTGGGACTAGATGATCTTTAAGGTCCCTTCCAACTCTAACCATTCTATGATTCTATGCCTCTATTTATAATGAGGTCAGTTCTACTTATGATGTTGGAAAACACAGGTGCCTAAAAAAAAATTAAATTATGCTAGTTCTTACTCTGTTAATCTCAAACTGATTTTTGAAGTCACACATTATCAGGCAATAAATGAAAAAGCCTCTTGATTTTGCTTCAACACCTAAGCAAAAATGGTTAGGCTAACAACAGTAACAGCAACAGCAATTTTTTCCACCCTTGTGACTAACTGCAAATTATTTCCTTCTTACAGAATTCTCCAAAGAGCCACATGAGAATTCTGCAGCCAGTAGACTGGATAGATTGATCCCTGGGCAGACTAATGTTTTGATCAGCACAAGGACAAAATAACTTACCTTTTCACTTCTCTGATTATTATGGTACCAGTGGTACTTCATGCCTCAGACCCCCAAACTAGTTATGAAAGTGGTCATTGAAAGGACTGTCATGATTGAATTGGCTAAAATGCAAATTATCTACCTTTTTAAGCAGGTTGTATGGTCCACTTTGAGTTCTATATATTTTCTGTTTAACTTTATTAACATGACTGAACAAGTAATTTGGCCAATACAAAGCAATGACAGGTGAAACTTAGTTTGTATTCTTTAACTATATAGACTCAATAATTAAATGTTTCATTGTAATTAATTTGACATTTACCAAAGCCAAATATATGGTAAGAAGCCATCTCTTGCCATCAAAACAGCCAAATTACATATAAGGAGAACTATACCATTTCCAGAGAAAATAGCAGGAACTGAAACAGCTTACCTCAGGCAGCACATCTTCTGAGGCAGAAAAAAAGTATGTATAAACTATTAGTTCTGAAGCAACTTCAATGTATTTTTCCTGCAAAAATACAAACGATGGTTTTTAATTTCTGAATTTTAAGTATGCTTCAAACAAAAGTTTTGTGACATAACTTATCTTCAAAGAGTAATTAGAGAATGTAGTTATGACATAAAACGTAAAAAAAATTCAGTAAACGTAAAAAACACGAGAATTTATTATAAGCATGGAGTTCAGTTTTTTATAAGATATTTTAAAGTATAACTGCCAATAGCCAAAAGAATAACTTTTATTTAATCAAGCTTCAAACCTTTAAAGGAGATTCACCACCAACATACACAAAAAGTACACGATGTCTCTTTTGCACGTGCTCGAACATATGCTGGCTAGGAAGTGGCCTGATAAGCGGTCTGGGGGGAAGATGGGAAAAAAAAGAAAGAAAAAACTCAGTTTCTGCAAGCTGCAAAACCCAAACAAATAAAAATACACAAGAAAATGCGACATGGTTTTGTGTGCTTGTTTGTTGTTTGGTTGTTTTTTTTAAACTAAATTCCCCAATGCACATTCATTTACTTTTTTCAATTTATTTCAGTTTCAACTAATAGAAAAAACACTAAAAATCCCCCCAAATAGACTCATTATGTTCTTCAAATAGCACACTTCAATCTGAAATTAATATCTCAGCACAAAAGGCTGCTATGATGTAAACATACATGCTATTTACTGGGCACAGGATCACAGACTAGATTGGATTGGAAGGGACCTTAAAGATCATTGAATTCCAACGCTCTGCCATGGACAGAGACACTTTCCACTAGTCTAGGTAGTTGCTGAAAGCCCCAGGTTGCTCAAAGCCCCATCCAACCTGGCCTTGAACACTTTCAGGGATGAGGCATCCACAACACCTCTGGGCAACCTGTTCCAGTGTCTCACCACCTTTATAGCAAAAAACGTTTTCCATATGTGCAATTTTTATCTACCTTCTTTCAGTTTAAAATCATTGCCCCTCCTCCTGTCAGTACAGGCTCTGGTAAAAAGTCTCTCTTCATCTTTCACTATAAAAAGAGGGCTTGTAAGAAAGGCCACAACAAGGTCTCCCCAGGCACAATAAGGTTGCAGTCATTTGAGAGAGAAATTCTGAATGTAAGCACAGCAATTAGGCAATGTGGTCTTAGAAATAAATAATTTACAAAATTCTGGTAAATTACTAGAGATCACTGATATTCCTAAACTACAGAATTCTTAGAATTCAGAATTCAATGAATGCTTCTTAACTGTATCTAAGAAAGAAGGAAAAATATATGATTCCTTTTTTCTCCCCAAAGATTACTGTCTATAAAATTTTGAGGATGCATGCCACTTTAGGGAAAGAAGAAAAAGGCAACAGAAATTGTTACGAACAATTCTGTAAAATCAATTTCCTTACATTGTCAATTGTAACTTTTCAGATGCATAAGCCTATATTAAACTGATGGTTTTTGATAACCATTGAGTATTAAACAGATTCTGCCTTAGTAATGATGTCTATCAGCCAAAATTTAGGTTGGTATTCTTGTTCCTGGCTTCTATGGGTTTCATTTGCTTATAGCTTCCACTACTTTGAAAAGCCCTTAGTTCTTGCCCTGTAGAGAAGGGGATTGTGACTAGCCAGTCTCTGTCTGCCTTCTCCACACCACTCACTCACTACCAGTCTCACATGCATCCACAGGCATAGTACATATATATTTTAACTTCATGTTAATTCCTTGTTCTTTTTTTATATAGATTCATTTTTTGGCCCACCTCAAAATCCTACAGAAGTTTTAAGTCACCAGAACTGATCTCACAGAAGAGTATACTCACCCTGCTACTCTATTAGCAAATTCAACGATATCATCTTTAGTTCTAGGTCCTCTATAGTTGTATGCCAAGTCACCTTTCAAGCTAGATAAATAGGAAAGACAAAGAAAAGAACAGAATGAAAATCAATCAAACTATATCTGAACACGTGGAATTACTCAATCTTCACATGTTTATTACAGTCACCTTTAAACAAGTGACAAGCAAGATAATTTTTCAAATACTCAGATAACAGAAGTGGTCAGGAATATGTAAAAGTCAGTAACGCAATACAATGCAACTACAGAGCAAAAACTTATTTACACAATATCTGGTTTACTGATTTTTAAAAATAATTTATTTTCTTTTATGATTATTTTTTTATAGTCCACAGCAGCCACACACTCTGTAAATATACAGGCCATTTGGAACATTTGCTTATGATGACACAAAAAAACCCCCATACTCAAGCCAAACCCCAAACATTCAGCATATATATACCACTTAGGGATTAGCCCTTCTGAAAGACAAATACATAAACTTCTGCAACACTTTTTTATGATGGAAAAGTATCAAATGACCTGCAAAACCTTCTAAATTTACGTACTAAATTAAGATTCCATTTCGGTTTACTGTTCAGTTTACTGTACTCTGCTGATAGGGGATGCAGCATGCTTGCATTATAAGAATATTCAAGTAAGTTTTATTAATTCTAACTGGTTTTCTTTGAATCCATATAGGGTTAGAAAACTCACAGGAAAAAAAAAAAGCCATCATAAAACCAATTTTACCTCTATATGCCAATAAGGTTTTTCATCCTTAAAGATTAATAAGCTAAACGTCTCTGCCCCCTGTGAGAAAACTAACTTGACTAGATTTATTATATATATCTTACAAATATAATTTGCTTAAACAATAACTGGCTAACAAACCCACTACGTTCATAGTAAAAACTACTCAAGATTACTTTATTTAACATCACCTTGTCCTGGATTGTATGCTACACTTTATAAGCAAGTACATATAATACCATTATGGATTGGTATTTTCCTATAAATGTTGTTCTCCATTGATTTTCTTTTTGAAGTACACGAAGAAAAAAAATCTACATATACTTTTCTTGTCAAACAACGGCTCTCAAACTTCACCCTATATAATAACCACTACTGTCACTTATATAAGCTTTCCAGCTTATTCTGCTTCATAAATAAGCTTTTCAGCTTATTTCAGCTCTTCACTGAAGAGAGAGTCAATTAAAAATAAGAAAATGCAATCAGCAACTTACAAAACTTAACAGGAAGACTCAGGTACGCACTTACTGCCTAAATCACTCTTAGGGTGTCAAATTAATTGGTGCGTGAAATTAATTTTAATAATGATAATGAAATATATATACACATATTTGAAATATATACTTGTATACACATAATTTTACCCAGTTGCCTAAAACAGAGCAATTAAAGAACTCCAAATTTGCCAACCTACCATTAAGAGTTCTGTTTCTAAAAAAGAAGCTTGATATTACTGATTTTCAAAGCAAACCAGTCCAGTAGAAATCAAAGATAATGTTGAAATGAAATGGTGGAGTATTTCTATGTCTTTGGGTTTGGTGCTTTTTTGTCATTTGTTTGTGATTTTTTTTTTTTTTTTTTACTGTCATGAAATCAGTGGTAGGAAAGGTAACTCCTAGAAATTCAATGGGAAGCATCAACTTACAGCTTAATTGTTGGATAGCCTCGCACTCCAAATTCAGATGCAATACCTGAAAGAAATATGTTGATGACAAAGTGAACCAAGACTTTCTTGCTCTCCTACCTTAAACTTTAAAAATAGTTTACCATTCAAGCAACATAAACCCACCACTTATTTCAATATGAATTATTTTATTTGCTTTCAATATGCTGCTGTTATGAAGCTACATTATTACATTTTGGATCCCTTTTAGACATACTGAAGGGTCCCAGCATAGGCTCTCAATTCATACACCACAAGTAAAATGTCATGAAAATCCTCTAAATAGACTGGCTTGGTCAGTTTTTACCACAAGATAGCCTGCATCTAATATGCACATACAATTGGCTGAAAACACAAGAGGCAGGAATTAAGCATCATGGATGTAGAGTTGTACATACTAATGCTTAAAGGAAATATAAGACAATTACTACTTGTGCTACAGTAATGGGTAATGATAAAACTGCAGTATCATGCTTTAGTAGTTAGAAAAAGTCCATTTTTAAACCATATTCTGCAGAGGTAAATGTCTACTGTCAGCAGCTTCACCTGAAATAGACACTTTTTAAGCAATCAGTTACTTACCTACTGCTTACTGAAGTGGTAAAAAGAAAATCACAGAACTTTTTCTCCCACCTTGCACTTGTTTGAAACTTTGTATCTTGCTCCCATCAGAGGAGCACAATTTGCAACCACCCTTTCAGTTTAGAACATGGTAACTGCCACCTTAAGCTACACTTTCCAATCAAATCAGTGTTTTCCAACAGTTAAACTAAGTAGTCTACAAAAAAGGCTAAAATAAGGCTGTAATAGGCAACCCCTGCACTCAAAAACACACAAAGATTCAATCCTTTTAACATAAACATTCTGAAGCTACCAATCACATGCCACGCAGCAGATGTGGGACGACCTGTGTGCAGGGCTCTGAATAACAGTTTAGAAATTGTGACCCTAAGGTTCTTTGCCCGGATCAAAATGCTAACTGCACAGAACTACAAATAGAACTAGCAGCTCAGGAGTCAGAGCTAAGAAATACGCATACTAGGATCAATTTCATTCTCGTCCTTTTCTCTCATGGAACTAGAATGCACTAAAATGTGTATTAAAACATTAAATCACAAGAGTTGTCGACAAGCAGTTAATTTCTCCTTGTACAGCTCTTGAGCACAGTCAGGAGAACTACAAAATAGACACTTTTAAATATATTTTTTTAAATATCCCAGCAATGGAGATTACTAAAACACTACCAACGTCATGGAAGTGACTGACTGACTTACAGCATCACCTCCACTTGTTGATATGAAAAATGCAGTATAGGCAAACAGCAGCAATAATGCAAGCCCCAGGTGTGACACATCCCTACTTTCACCATGTTCAGTGGACTTCTGAGGCTAACCCCCATGAAAATTCAACTGATACCACACCCGGTGACTATTCTGTTGATATAACTGCTGTATCTTCATTCCACACAGCTACCAGAGGCAACACTTATTGGATGCTTTATATGTTCAGCTGTGATGGCAACTCTCTGATGACAAGCTACCCAAAGTTCAGGTTTTTCACGGTATTTCACCTGTCTATTAGGAACACAAACTATGCAGAGCCAACCATTCATGTTCCTTCCCAGTCACACGTGTGTGCCCAGCTGCGTTTCCTTCTAATATTCTTAAGACCGAATTACTTTGATTTCAGAGAATCTTTAGATTGGGAAGACATTAGGCAGAGTTGACTGAGCTTTTCATATCCAGATGTTGTAAAATTTTCACTTTCAAAATAAAAGCATGGAACTATTTCAAAAGATTTCTCAGACTCTATTCTTCATAAAATCAGTAAGAAATCTGAGAAAAAAAACATAGTCGGGGCACAAAGGAACCCTTGCAGTTTTTACTAATTTTTAAATAAGCAAAACTGAATTTTTAAACAGAACCAAATCATCTTAAGGGCTGATTACCTGAAAAGAATAACCACAAGAACACAAGCACTTGTCCAATAGTAATATAAGGAACTTAAAATTGGATGCCGTCAAGAGACACATTGCATACGTGCTTGTATAACAGTACTCTAAGAAGAGTATCAAAAGTTTATCTTTGAAAAGCTTTTACCTTCTGTTTCTCAGGAAAAATTCACTACTCAAGCAGAAAGAAGTGTGATAAAAAATGCATACTACTGCATGTTGTCACTCTTAGAAAAAAAAAGATCAGGAGATTGTTCTCCAATGACTGTTTCCATACATTTGCTACATATGATACAGCACAGACAAATGAGTAATGAAAAAAACTAAAAACAGTTTCAAAACAATGGCTGTCGTGAAGCTACCTCTAATCAAACTATACTTACTAGAAAAGGAAGTTGCATCCATCTTCCCAACTTTTACTGGAGAGCCCATGTTTCTCATTTCTATACCCACTTCATTCCACACAGGCTCCAGTTTCTTGCAGTGGCCACACCAAGGTGCATAAAACTGAGAAGTAAATGCATTTGATTTAAATAAAAAAATAATTAAAAAAACCCAACAGAAATTAATGAAGAGAAGTAATTAAGAGAAGTTGATTCTATGATTAACCCTCAAATACATTATCAAGTCTTATTTTCCAGTCATGGTGTTCTTCAAGTCCTAATAAAACTGCAAGTTAATTATGAAGCTGGAGTAACAAACAGAGCATTTTTGGTTTGGTGCTACTTTTAGTAAGAAAGCACAAATCTGAAAAGAATACATTCAATTGCTGTACTATTATACGACTGCTTATTTGTCTGTGTGATAACATTTTTTTTTAATCTCTTTTGGAATATTTTCCTCTTTTCTTCAAAATTATAATAGCATGTTATCAATCTGCCCAGGAACACAAATTTATTTGCCAATAGGGGAATGTTATTCTTTGAAAGGAAGGACAACACATACATATATTTTATATACATATATGTGTATACTTCTGCAGGCTGCCCTCTGGATTTCAGTTTTTCAGCAACTACTTTTATACAAGCATGTATGTAAAACTGTAAAATTGATCCCCTTTTCTCAAGACCAAGCAGAGCTGAGAGACTTCATTTGATCTTTCTGCCTACGTCTTGCTGCAACACCTCAGTGAAATTAATAGGGAAGATAGCAGTGTTTTGGTATAACAAGATTGGGTCACAACTTGAGGAGTTGGATTTTGTTTGTTTCTCTATACATTACTGAGCAATTCTGAATCAGTGTATACAGTTTTCCCCACTCAAAAATCACAAATCTGAATTATATCATTTGGGAATTGCAGTTCATATTTGGGTCAGCTAAAAAGAACTTTATCTCATTGCTAAACAAGCTCAATCTTTTTAATAATTCCTTGCCTCTGAAATAAGGAGCACTGAATCTTTCCAAATATGTTAGAAAAGTAAAAGAAGCCTCTCATATATTTGATGTTGTATTGCTAGAGTCCTAGAACACAAATTAGCTTGTATAACTACAGAATGGAATTGTAAAAATTCCAGACAGAGGTTACCACCTCCTGACTGTAAGTGTAAGGTAATCTGCTTCCTGTTTTTAAGGACAGTAAAAACAGGATGAAGCCTGTCTGCATCCAATACTCTAATTCCTGGTTCATCCTGAACAATACAGACAGATTGCTTATCCATCCTGTCAGAAGAATTACTGTCATGTAATCTTTCTGCACCACGTCCAAACAATTTTCCAAATGATGAAGCAGCCTCACTACAGAGTGTAGCATTGTACATTTCATGTTTTGATTTCTACTAACAGGTTCTCCCCATCTTCTCATATACTCACATCTACAAGCCAAATATCATCTTTACGGTTTTCTTTAAACCTAGGAAAAAAAAAAAAGAAATCAATATATGATATATCTGAAAATAAATAAGTGAAGTGAAATAGGCAAAGTCTTTAATTAAGTTGGTATAAAACCATAGATAAAAAATTGTTTTGTTTCTTTCACTGAACTTTTTTCAATACAAGATCATATAAATTATTGCATTACTTACCTACTTCTACTTTGAGAATTAAACCAGAATTTTAATGTAAGGTTTATTTTCATAAAAGATGGACTTTGTAGAAGAGACTAGAACTGGGAGTAATGTCACATGCTATAAAATACTTATTGTAACATTCTTATTGTGAAAGAAGATTAATATATTTATAATGATACAATAAGTGTGTGATCTACACTCTAAGTTAAGATCCAATTACTAGAAGTTATAGCCCAACCCATTGATTCCCAATATGCAGCATTCCTATAAATAGCTCATTGGCAGTAAACAGAATCAGGGACCACGGATTATATTATATTTAAAGTTGAATAGATTCATAATAGTCTTGAAGAAATACTAATGCTGAAGCTGGCCTACTGTTTAAAAAAAATAATTCAGAAATTATTATCTAATTACAACACTGAATCTTTGAAACTTAGAATTGCAGCATTTCACTGGTAAATTCTAGCCTTTTTTGTTTTATTGACAGCATACCAAGTTTGCAATGCTTGTACAGCAGAAAAAGGTATTTGCAGTGACTAACATAAAACTGCTACAGGAAAAAACATTTTTAACTCACAAAACTGCTTAGTCAACCACCTCACTAAAAATTTACTTCACCACACTTAAATGCTGCAGAGCTAATGACTAGATAGTCTAGCATCTCTTGGGAACTCTAATGAAGCTCCAGCTAACTTCCAATTACAATGTCAAATAACTGCTTATGATGCAAGAGGCAGAAAGCAACCACTGAATCACCAGATCCTGGGTTGTGCCTCAATTTAGAACATCACCTTTAGTTAGTATAATAAGAATTTACAATTAACTGTTCTCCCCCTGCCACAGTATGACATTAAAGCACTGAGAAAGGTAGAAGGAAATCTCATAATACAGTGGACAGCAAGGAAAAGAGGGATAGAAAGGAAGTGTCTGGATGTAGAACATTCCAATGGAATTTAATAACTTTGGCCTATGATGAGATTATAGACGATTTTTGTGGTTTTTACAATAATAAATTTCAAGTTGTACCACTCATTTGCAGGCACCTATTTAATCAACTTCCACAGAAACTAAAATCTTAAGTCTGAAAAAACCGAACTATTTAAATTCATTCCAGTTTCAGTTATGTCAATGATTAAATTATTAGACAAAATTAAGAAAGTTCAACACACTGTTGAAGTAAAATGGAAATCTCTGTACAAATCAGAATTTAAGCATTTTCTGAAGGTGCTGTTTCTAGGCCATGTAAATACTTTTCCAAGGGTAAAATTTCAGTGTCTGTCTTTAACTGTCCTATGCAATCCTCCCTCTGCCAGATGACACAGGCACAATCATACTGGTAGAAAGATGACATAGGTGTTGCTAACTCTTGAACCAAAATTATTTGTCTCCAATACATACAACTCCCCAACATTTGGCACTACACGATCAAATGTTGCCTCAACCTCCACTTAATCCACATACCCCACTTAAACATTAATAGTTAGAAGAAACCAATATGAAGCAAAACTGAAGACTAAAGCCACAATTCCAAGCACCTTTAATCAACCCAGCTACTGCTTCTATTCCTCCCTATCTCCCTTCTCGCCCCCCTTGCACCGTTTCTGCTGCTTCTGAGCCTGGGTTGAGCCAGCAATGCCTTCTCACAGAAAGAAAAATATTTGCTTTTTCAGTCAGGGTGCTTATCTGCTTCATTATCACACTGCAACAAGTCAGCAAATATTGCAAGATGAGTACTGATCTGAGGCAGCCAGCAGTTCCATCCACAGAAGCTGACAGGAACCATAGCTCTCATTTTGCACCCCTTCCACAGCCCAGCTGAGTGACGCTGGGTAACTTGCACCTCTGTCAGTCCTTCTGTGCTACTTGTTTTCCAGTATCTTTCGAGGCTGGGAAAGGGACCTGGCCCTCATGCTAGCAGGCATTGTTTACAATTACCAAAATTCAAATCAAATGCAAAATTTCCAGCAAGAGCAAAAACTCCAGAATGTTCAGGTATCTATAAAACGACAAATATCTATAAAACTTGAAATGTTCACCATTTTGGAGTCACTGCTCCCAATTTTTTTTTTTTTTTGTTTCCCTGACCTTTTTCACCATTTTCCAATTAGCTAATAAAGGGAGGAAAAAAACCAAACCATAAAACAGCAGCAAAACCAGTCCTGAACAACTCACCACTCAATTCTTATTCCCAATTCAAATACAGGCATCTGCATAGTTTAACAGTTGAAAAATCTAACTGTTCTAAAGTAGGATTTTCTTTTATCAGCTATTTCAAAAAAAGTTATGTGACTACACTTCTTTACACCAAAACAGCAATTACATTTTAATTTACACCTGTGGAAACATGATACAGGAACATAATGCAGAAGCACAGATACAGGCTATTTTATTCACTTATCCTCTTTATCTTTAGTCCATGAAAATATGAGGCATGCTTCAAAAACAAGCTTTGAAAATTAAGTCCATACAATTTCTGTGCTTCAGCTGCTTTTTCACTACACTTTAAAACACCAGTCAGGGATGCTGATATATCTCTCTTCAGGACCTCTTTCATATGTTCCCAGTCCCTCCCTCATAATTCCACTGCACCCCATTTGATCCTATGATTATGTCCTTATGCTGAATCAGCAATACGATTTAAAAAGTGAACGGTTTTCTGACGGTTTAGCTCTGTGATGCAATCTATCATGGATTGAACCCTCATGAAAACATTACCTTTGGCTAGCTTCGATTTGTCATAAAGCAGCCACCTAATTCCACCTTCTCCTCCCCTATCAAGTAGTATTTTCTGTACCTTCTACTTCAATTCTAATAATTGTACTGCTTTGTAACACTTTAGAACAACCTGCTGATCTGACAAAAAAAAAATCATTTTTGGAAAGTTAGATTTTCTTGGGAACAGAAAGTACGCAGCCATCAAACTGGTAAAGCAAGGCAGTACATGAACAATGACACTACACAGCAAGTTAAGGGCAGGACTACCTATTTCAACACCTCTGTAGTCTTAGGGCTAAACCTGCTGCAAAAGCATATTTTCACACTGGAATATAATTGGCAGTGCAAGCAGCCATGAACCAGTCCTGCAGGCCTTCTTCTCTCTTCCGTTTCTGGCCATGCATGAATGCACTTTTACTCCTTCTCCCAGCTCCTTGAGGCAGCTACGCAGCAAGCTCTAATGAAGAATTTGGTTAAATGCAATCAGCTTTTACTTGGGACAGGCATCAATCGACCAATATACAAGTCTACAAAAAGGCAGGAAAGAGCACGGAAATCTGAGGACGTTTTTGGCAACAACACCTGTGATGACAGCTTTTTAAAAAAAAAAATTCAAAATTAAAGTGTTCCTCAGCTTCATGAACTGCACCTACTTAACACAGGCCACAATCCTTCTGCCATTCCTGCTGAGGAGACGACAAACTTTCTGAGGGTGGTTTTCTTGACAAATGCCCTCAGCGCAAAGCTGTGGGTCTGGGGTCACCCCCCTCGCGAACAGGCACGCACTATTTGGCAGTGAGACACCCCCGTCAGACTGTACTTACGACTCATCCAGGTCCTCCACAAATCCCGCACCGGACGCCACCACGTGTGCTACCACTGCGCGGAGAGGAAAAGGGCACCGTGAGCGATGCCCACGCGGGACCGGGGGTGCTCTCCCCACGCCCGCCCGCCCTTCTCTCCCCTCACGCCCCCACCGCTTTCCCACCGCTGCCCCTCCGCCGCCACCGCCGCAGCGCTGCCCGCCGCCCCCCTCCGCCCTTCTCCCGCCTCCCGAGCCCACCGCTTTTCCTCCCTCCTTCCCTCCCTCCGCCCGCCAGCAGCCAGGCCGCAGCCCCAGCGTTACCTGCCACCCAGAGGAGGCGCCGCCGCCGCTCGCCCGCCGCTGCCATGTTGACAGGAGCCCCGGCACGGCCGGAAGGGGAAGCGGCGCGCGGCGGCGACGACCTTTCCCCACCGCGCAGGCGCGGAGGCGGCGGTGCGGGCTGTGGCCCGGAGCGGCCGCGTTAGGCGGGCCGGTGATGGGTGTGGGTAGGGATGCAGAGGTTGTGCCCGATGGAAGTAACGGCAGCCGCGGCCCGGGCCCGGGGTCAGCATGTCCCCTGCCGAATCCCTGTTCTCCGCGCCGCAGAGAGGCGGCCCGGGCCCCGGGGTGGGCGGTGTGAGGCCCTGGCACGCTGGCGGGAAGCGGTGTGGGTGGACGTTGTCACCTCCCGAGTGGTTTCCAGAGCTGGGCCCCGCCAGACTCTCTCATTAAGTAAAGCCAATGCTCTGATTTCTTGGAAAATGAGTTTTGGCAGAAAAAGGTGTTCCGCCTCTGATGTTGCCGGCTGGCTTCCACGGGCAGAGGTCACCCCGTACCGCTCCCTGGTGCGGCAGTGTCAGCACCCGGCCTTCAGCACCCTTGTGACAAGCACAGCCCTGCTCCTTCATGCTTAATGTCCATATCATTCTCTAGCTTTCCTCAGTCTTTCAAATCTTTTGGTCTTTCAAACCTGCGGTCTTTCCTGCCTCAACTACCTTGTCGTTCAGTACAGATCTGCGGGTCCTGTTAAGGGCAAAGAATCCAGCTGGCAAACCTGTTTTTTTTTAAAAAGTTCAGTTACAGCAAGCTTTTCATCTGGTACTGTTCAGCCTGGAGAAGAGAAGGCTCAGGAGGGTCTTACCAAGGTGTATGAGTACCTGAAGGGAGGGTGCAAAGAGGATGGAGCCGTGCTCTTTCCAGTGGTGCCCCGTGACAGGACCAGAGGCACAACCTGAAATACAGGAGGTTCCCTCTGAACATCAGGAAATATTTTTTCACTGTGAGGGTGACCAAGCACTGGCCACCAGTCTCCTACTTCTGAGATATTCAAAAGCTGCCTGGACATGGTCCTGAACAACCAGCTCTAGGTGGCCCTGCTCAAGCAGGTGGGTTGGACCAGATGACCTCCAGAGGTCCCTTTCAACTTCAGCTACCCTTTGATTCCATGATCCGTTTTCAGTTTTGACTCCTCCTGTATAAGTTCTTACATACACCTTTCTCACCTGTACTGGAGTTACTTTCCTCACCTGTGCGTGTGAATGTTTGATGTCTTTGTTGGAGAAGGATAGATTCTTCCAGTGACAATTCAATTCCTTTCATGTCAGTTTTCATGTCTCTTCTAATGATAGGGTCTACAAGCAGCAAACATTGCAGTTGCCTTACTTTTGGGCTGCTCTGTATGTGTGTGTGCACATGTGTGCTTGTATCTACATATACCTCTACCTGGCCTGGTGAGGACTTCCCCTTCACTTAATGCTTTCTGAGTATACCATGTTGAATTCATCAGATGATCCCCAGAGTTGTCCAGCCCTTTGGAAAAGCCAGCTACCGTATAGATTTATTGGCCGAGACATAGGTCAAGACCTGAGAAGTGCACGCCGTAGATGTCAGCAGAATTCGAATGTATCTGACTCTGGCCTATGGTAGACATATCTTTTTCTTACACGCACCACACTGAAAGATTATGCAGTATTTCACATCTTGATAAGACTATTTCACTTCTTTTTCCTCCTTCCTCCACCCCTGTCAATAGCAGAACTAATGAGTTGCTAACATACTTATTGGATAAAGTATGAGAATTATTCACTGAATGCATGGAATTTCTGTTCCACAGCATTTAACTTTCTGTATACCAGAGTTAGCTAAGTGGTGTCTGTATGCCTGACCAAATGAGAGCTGGCATATGTTTTGATCCTAATCTAGCTGCTGTCTAGACTGAGACAATGAAAACAATTTACCCCATCAGTCCTTTAGTGGAAAATCCATATGAGAGAAATTGGGAATAACCAAGTAACTGTTAAATTAGTATAATCCTCTTACTTAGACATCTCACAGTTGGCTTTAAATAACTTTTAAAGTGAAAAGAACATTTTATATAGTTTTGTATAGATTTGAATAAAGCTATTTTCACTTTAAGTCCTGTTTGTCAGCTTTGAAGTTTATTTTCTCTGCCAATAGTGGAATATTCTTGTTCTAACTTTTGCATTTTGTGAGCCAAAGTATTCTTCTGCAAGCCTGTACGCTATTCTTGAGCTATATTATTTTTAAATTGAAGGAGTCACTGTATACATCTTTGTAAGCAAATTTATGCACACCTGCCTACACAACACTATGCTGTATTTATTTATACAATTTATAGTGCAGCTTTACTGCCTAAAATGCAATATGCATATAAAAGAGAGTTCTTACACTGTAGCCAAGTAACACATACCATGGGAAAAGCATGTGACACACAAAAGGAACAAATAGCATAATGATAGATGAGATGTAGAGAGATCACAAGGGTTTTTTTGTGTTGTATTATTTTCACTATGAACATTTCATTTGAAAAAAATACAGGATTAATAGATTACTATTAATAGATTACTAAACACTGGAGTTTTGCATAAGAAAAATAATTAAAAAAGAAAAGGGATGGCTTTGGTAAATGAGCTGAGCACGAGGTATGAAAAAAAAAGAGAAGGTTAAGAAGCAAAGAGCACAGAGACTACTGTTGAAATACTGGAAGTTACTGCAGGAAAAAGTGGGAATTATAGGGAGATCAGCAATCAGTGAAACATGGGAAATTGAACAGACAAGTTCACATAAAGCTTTCAAAGGCTCCTTCCAGTCCATATTGTGTAGGAGGATTTATTCTTTTTTTGAACCTGATAGATGAGGAGATTCAACAAAGACAAGATACAAGCTTTGCCTTATGGCCTACCGAAGGCTGATTTTCAGAGCTTTTTGGATGTCGCAAGATTTTCAGTCAGTTTGTGCAGGTTGTTCACCTGAAGGGAGAGAAAAGGACTTACCTGTAACTCTGTCTAAATTATACAATAAGGACTTAATTTTACTGGACTGTGGGGAATTTTGCCTTAACAGAAATAATCTCTTTCAAATAATTACCTCTCTAAAATTTGTTAACATTGTAAACAGAATACCAGAGTCAGTTTCAATACACGTAGGCGTAAATAAAATATTTAAAATATTAAAGTTCTTTGGGCACATCTTTATTATTGTACAGTGAACAGCATATCGGTGACACCGTGCTAAAGGAGACTTCCCAGCATTGCCCAGCCAGACATGAAAGGTTGAAGGGAGGGATCAGACTGAGAGTGTAGAGGGGAAAGGGAAGAGTGCAGAGAAAGAAAAGAAGAAAGATGGGGCGGGGAGAGAGGGGAAAAAAAAAAAATATCCTATACATACAGCCTAAATCAATTCATAAAATGAATTAAACCAGTAATACAGATGTCATTAATCATAGTTAAATTCAAAGTAGTGATAAGCTTGTAGTAAAATAATTTGGTGTCTAATTAGAAGAATAGAGAATTACACATGTTCTGGTACCCTTTGGGGTTTTTTTTCCATGTTTTGCATGAGAGTGCTTACAGTTTTTGCAAGGCACAACATGAAGTAGAATGTGAATTAAAAACAGAATTGTGATGGCATTAATACTGTTGACACTGGCAGCAGAATTTGGCTGATGTTGTATTAACATTTCACCTTTCCACATAACTTCAGTTTTTAGAACAGCTTGAGCTGATCCTCGGGGGAGGGGTTGTGGTTGGAGATTGATTTTTTTTTTTTTTAAATTACATTTCTTTTATTACAGAGACACCTGGTGGTCTTTGAGTGTATTTATAAAAATAGCATTTTGCTTTTTTTGTCTGGGTTTACTTTAAAGCTTGCTTTATCATTTATTATCTATCACTTATATTTAGAAACTCCTACATTATGGTAAAACAGCAAAATTAAATTGAGAACATTTATATATTATTGAGTATGTACTGGATATTATAGGCTAAGTGAAGTAAAAATATATTTCTTCCAAAATTTAATGTTAGAACAACCAGTATTTTGTTTATTTTGTTTTCACATTTTCAGCATTCAGTTTATGCCTTTTGTTTCTGATTTGTGTGTTTTATGAGACTGAAATGATGACCAAAAAGTTATGCCAGAACCAGTTTAATTTCCAGGTCGACATATTCGTACATGATGAAAGTGCTTACTTCACTAGAAACGCTGACAAGAACAGGACTATGCTACCACAGAAAAGTTTTAATAATACTCCATGCATACGGCATTTTATGAATAATAGGCAATTACAGGTAATTACACAGCATAATAGGTAATTATACAGAATACTAACGGTTGGGTCTCTTCTCACACCACACCCAGACTGTCAGGAAGACAAAGTCAGTCAGGCCCTGGAGCAATGTCTCTGCTGTTACAGCGCCTTCTTCTCCTTTCCATCCCTGTAGTCATCCTGCCACAGCAGCTCTTGACACCCACCCACAGCGGGATCTCCATCTGCACAGCTCCACCAGATCTAGGACCTCCTCCTAACGCAGCTGGGTACAGCCATAAGCCGCTGCAAGCAGGTGGACAGGCCCTGTCATCCAGCCACGGCCTTCTTAACCACCAGCCGGGTTTGGCTTTTTAGGTAAAAAAATCCCCATCCACTCTTTCTACAGGGGCATATAGCACTAAGTCAATTTTAAATGCTAGGGAACTATATTATACTTGGGGTGGGTGGAAGTAAAACAGAATTTTTGCAACTAAAATGAGTGCTATTCACTTCAAGTAATACAAGTAACATAGGAATATTCTTATGCATAATTAGAATGTGTTTTTATAGCTTTTAACTTAGTCAAAATTGGCATTGCAGTCACTTTTATTGGAAATTACCTCTGTGGGTTGGTTTTGGTTGATTATTTTTTCATTTGGCAGTTACCAGACCTCTGCCCATGATGTCATTTGATAGTCTTTAAGAGCTAATTAGTGCAGCCTCTTCTTTTTTTTACAAACAGTTTAAAGACACTTCGAAGCAATTTTTGCAACACCTACAATTGCATTTTAGTGGAGGAGTGGTTTTCACATCTGAATTTCTGTTATGATTAGTGCATGGTGTATGTTGCAACA